CCATCTTGGTACCTTTCTTATCCCTGACACTCGTTTCGAATTCGTTCATATATATTTGGTTGGACCCCTCCCAGAATTTTATGGATATACCCATATCTTAACCTGCATCAACGATGGCCTGAAGCAGTACCCCTCAAGGATGTATCTGCTGAAACAGTCACACGCGTCTTTGTCGAACGATGGATCGCAAACTTTGGACACCCATCCTCCATAGCAACGGATCGCGGGTACAATTTGAAAGCGGCTTATTCTTAGCCTTGAATAAAATCGTAGGTTGTATGTGTTGGAACATCATCAAGATAATGGTATGGTAGAACGTCTACACCTACAGTTGAAGGCTGGGCTGGGTTATCAGCTGCAAACAATACCCATTGGACTGAATCACTTCCGTTAGTTCTCCTAGGGATACGAAACGCCTTGAAAACTGATGCTGGTTGTACTACCGCTGAGCTAGTATATGGCACAACAATACGACTGCAAGGTGAGTTTGTTTCTCCCTCTAGCTTCCCACCAGCGTGAGATCACTCCTCATACGTCAGCAGGCTTACAAACGCAATGCGTTCAGTTAAACCTGCTCCCCTTCGACCACAGTCCGTTGATGTCTTTGTTCACCCGTGTTTGAAAACTTCTTCACATGGATTTGTTCGTCATGACTCTGCATGCCGACCTCTAGAACCCTCATACGACGGACCATATAAAGTCATTAAACGTACGGATAAATTCTTTATCTTAGACAAAAAAGGCCGCGAAGACGCCATCAGCATCGACCGTCTGAAACCGGCTTACTTGGAAGGCAATCCTATTAGCCTAGAGCTGAGCATTCCCAATAATCCCCAAGTAACCGAATATCCATTAGTACTCGAAGAAATCACTAGCACGACGAAAGCCACCGAACCTTCTGTAGAGATCTCAAAGGAAACGAGTTCTGGACGAACCGTGAGATTCCCGGAACATCTTCACATTTATCGCACATAAAATGATACCACCTACCCTATTTTTTCTCTCAGGCACATACTTTTTTCATTACACCTAACAACATAAGCAAAAATTTCTTTTTCTGACCGCACACTGAAAAAATTAAATATTTTCTCGATGTTCTATTTTTCGCATTAATTTTCTGTATGGTAGATGTATTTCATTTTTCAAACGTTATTTTTGGTATGTATTACTTGACGAGGTTCTTGGTATTCTTGTTTTCATTTTCAGGTGCGAAGGGTACTGGACAGGAAGCACATGAAGCAAGAGGTCCAACGGACGAACATCAACGAAGCAATGTAAAGACACCCAACTGACGTAGGTAGACGGTCAGTAGGCAATCCATCAAGCTAATCGGAAGTTTTACTGATAATAACACCAGTGGATCTTTACTTCCGACTGGTTTTGTCTTAGGAGCCCCACAACCCCACTAGGTGGGAAGTGGGCTGTAGTAGTAGGTAATATCCCAGAATTATAAGCCACAGCATTCATCGCTGAAAATTGGATGCTGACCATCACTGGTTAGGTCGATTTGTTTAGCTGAAGGCTTCCGGTCAGGCACCTGCGCCATTTGTCACGCCGTAGTGTTACATTAGTTCGTTCGTGCACGATCCCTAGCTAGTTAAGCAGTTACCTTGCACTCCGATTTGGTCCCGAAAGATAAATCGTGATTTGGACAACCAATTCTGGTGTTTTGCTTTACCTTTGGTTCATGCGAAACGAATGGTATAGAAGTTGTGGGTATTAGATCTAGCGTTAGAATACTTTGCACTATCCAACAAGACCAACAATCTCAGCCTTTTAACAACTATTTTAGAAGGTCCTCATCGCACACTTCCATATTTTATATTGTGTTACCGTCTGTCTAGTGGTTTACATTTACTTGAATGATTTTTCTCATCACTCCTAATGCTTTTTAATCTTTATTTATGCGATTACTTTTATTTACACCTATTATGTCACACGTATTTTTTCCTACCTAGTCTTCGTGTGACAAGATAAAACTTATGTTTGACATTACAGTGATTGTTTGTGTTTCAGTATAATCCTAGCGTAAATCAAGGCTGAGTGTTATACTGCAGACAACACTCCTTTACCTTCCCCATATGTTTCTTCTGTAACTCAGCTGTCATTTGCTTAATTTTTTCTAGGTTACTACAGCAGTTGCTGCCCTTATGTTGAATCTCAAGCCTATTCCGCACTACTTTAACGAACACAGTGCCAATCGGACACCTGTTCATTTCATATTAAATACTGCATATGATGCCTGCCTTTCACTTATCTTCGAACTGTAACGTGCAACTGTACATCTAGAAAACATTTTCCCCTGCTCCGCATCCATCTTCGTCTTCCCACTTCCTTTCATACCAGAGAAGGGAGTATGGGTGTGCAGTGTCGGCTAGATTCTACCACTATTCATTAATGAGGTATGTCTTAACTTCCGGAATCAGTCTTCTGTTTTATATCTGCAAACCACTCTAGGTTCTTGGTATATGCAGTTTGTTTATGTGCAACATGCGACGTGAGACCAAGGCAACGAATGCTTAAAGTAGTCTGCAAACTTACTGGTCCATACGAAACCATTAAAAATGACAGAAGCTAGTGAGGGCAGAAATACATACAGACTAGATCAACTGTGTATGAGCTAACAGGTGGTTTTTGAGAATGTAGAAATCGTATCACTGTAGGCAGCTGTAGCCGTACAAAACTGATATTTTAGTTGGTTATTAGGAATCACTCAACCTTAGATGACTTACTTCTCCGATGACGTCCTACGAAGGCCAATTTAACAGAGATGACTGAAGACCCAAAGCTATAATACTGACCTACTGTTCAACAATTAATGCATGTGGCTGAAAGACCTCCTAAGATAAAATGAGATTTCAGAGCAAATGGAGATATTGAATTAGGTAATCAGATGAAAAACACAGTCACAAAAAGTTAGCGTGGTACAAAGAACAGAGAAGCTCGTAAGTTTCAATTCATAGAAACCCTGTGGATTTGATGATATCAGCCCGCCAGGTATAAAACAGTGTTTTGAGGCCTAATTTTCACAATCAGTATGGTGCACCAGAGATCATAGTTCAGGACATAATTACTGATGGAGTCAAAGCGTGGTATCCTGCTTCACACTTGTAAAGGAGCGGTTGACGAAATCCTAATTGTTTAAGACCATTAGAGCTGCTTCAGGCAATATAGGAAGTGATCAAAACCTCCTGGATGATGACATAAAGAAATGCTGAAAAAGCATCACCCCATTTTTTCAGAAAGGATCACCGCGCTTTCAAATTTACAGCAGCCTTGGAAATCGGGCTAGCTTACTAAAATCAGAATTTTTCGATTCTTGTACTGCTGACAGATCAAGACGCTAAACTATTCTCTGCAAATCATCCAAAGCAAGAATCGTCAGCCCAGTATCACAAACTACTTGGATGGTACGAAGGCGAACCGAGTATTCTCTACATGGGTAGGATCGTCTAGCAGGATCTGGCAGAGTATTTTTACTTTTCATTTTCACCAACCCATGTTTGCCGATGGTATCAACAGCCAAAACACTTCGCTAAAAATTCGAGAAGACTGACTTGAAGAAATCGGTCACAACCAATGGGTGGGCATTCGAAAAATATCAGTCCAACTTCACTTTGGGCACTGGTAGAAAAAAAACTATTGTCTAAGTGAAGTTAACCTTTTCACTGAAGACAAAGAGCCTGTTCTTGGGCTACTCCTCACAGATAAATGTGCCAACAAGCTCCAGCAGCTCAGCCATAGCTATTGTAGCCTTCTACTTGATCCACGGATAACTAGCTACACATGTACTGAGCTTATTTCGCACCTTTACAGTCCATATGAAGCCAAGCCAAGAGTCCATAGCATCATCTACAAAAACTTCTCAAAATGGGCACCAGTCTCATAAAGAACGCCCAGGAATGAGGTATTGAAGCCCGAGAACCGACTAGATACAGGTTTACTTTGAAACCCTGTTCCACTTGTCACCATTAGTCGGAAAGTCAGTATAAACTTTGATAACAACTGATAAAATAGTGTTCCAGATGGATACTGTGATTTCCTCCCTGTGTTACATCAAAAGCGTTTTCCAATTGTGGACGTTAAGAAAGTTGGGGTCCAGCTTCTTCCCATTACTCTAAGTCACTTATATGATCCCCAGGCTTATGTGAATACCAGTAACTTGAAGATTATACAAAGCTGAATATCGAGGTATTTATATAGACGGAACAGTCTAGTACTTGAAAGACTGCACTGGTACTACAAAAGTCGTAGCCTACTTATTAATTTACTTCACTATTTATCCTATCTTTCGTTTTTACTCTTCTACTCGTAGCTTCTCATTTCACCGCTTCTGTCTGTTTTGCGTGTACTACATGCAATTTTACGACTTCTCCGTTTAGCTTGGTAAAGGTTTTAGTTACTTGTCCGCTTGATCTACTTCCGAGTGCCTTAGTATGCATAATTCCTAGGGTGTTTTCGACTAATCTAAAGGATTGTTTGGTAAGATGGCGATTGCAAGTACCAGTAGTGGAATTACTTTGAAGAAAACTGCACATACAGTCAAAGACAAACTGATGACACGCTGACACGAACCATACAGGATGTTTTCAAGAAATGCATCATATTATCTGCTCTTTAGATTACCTAGTTAGGCAGGTTCATAAAGAGCAGTACTATGCATCATAAGACATTTTGATTTGGAAAGCTATGGAAGGGATTGAATTGTATCAAGACCATACTCTTGTGTTTTTACAGACATGCAAAATGCTGGATGCTGTCAGTTCACCGTTGATATAGCTTCAACAGGATGCACCGCTATAATTGACTGTAGCGTTACAGTAATTGCTTTGACGCTGTGAAATGTAATTGGATTTGTTTAGTCTACCGATTACCAACTTTTTCGATAATTTTTTCACAAAAAGCATAAATTCACAGAAATACTCACTGTATATACTGGTTTTGTTTTTCCTTTTTCTTCAGAACAATTCGCAAGCTGTCAACCTAATTAAGTTACCTCACATATAAGAACTCTGCCTTACAGGCCGTCCATCTTACTGATGTTCTGAAGATTTATTTATTGTACAATGGACTTAGATCATTGGATAGAGTGTGTGAAAACTTGTAAATATCTCCCTGAAAACGACTTACGGAAGCTATGTAACTATGTCAGTGAGCTATTGATTGAGGAATGCAATGTACAGCCAGTTAGCTTCCCCGTGACTGTATGTGGGGATATTCATGGACAATTCTATGACCTTTTGCAATTATTTCGCACAGGAGGTAAACTTCCGGATACAAATTATATTTTCATGGGGGATTTTGTCGACCGTGGATACTACAGTCTTGAGACATTCACACTACTACTTGTTTTAAAGGCTAAGTATCCCGATAGGATAACACTACTGAGGGGAAATCACGAAAGCCGGCAGGTCACTCAAGTGAGTTTCATGTCCCTCTGCATTTAAATTTATAGATTCTTTGGCAGCTATTCTGATCGATCTTACTACTAAGCTTGAGTAACTATTAGAATTAAAGAGCTACGAGTGCAAATTGTAAGAGATGGTCATGTATCGAGGTGGCTGCCATAGTTTTACATTGTCCTCTAATTGTTCTTTTTAATTGTGGTTGGGTCGTGTGACGCATGTTAGTGGTATATCTGTCCACTACAAAGTCCGATAGAATCACTGTTTATGTTATTTTGAGTTGCTTCTTACTACTTGTGAATGATTAGCTAGAAACATAACACAGTTAACCTTAAAAATAGCTCAGTGACCAATCTATAAGTAGTCACAAGTAACAACTAGCATTGTTTACTTATTTTGGTATACGCAGTAGTCACTGTGTGTTATGATTTACGTCACCAAATAAATGCTTTTGGATTCTTTATAAATCATTGTTCCCGAAAGCCGGTTTCTGTCCATGCTCAAGAAATATATTACAAGAGAAAGCCTAAAAATTCAATTTCTTACCGAAAGTGGTCAAAATTTTCAAGATTCTACGTGTGCTTCGCAATTACCTCTTGCAAAATCTACCCAGTCATTTTTACAGAGTCATATAAGATAATTGTGACAATTTGAAGTTTACTTTTATACCCTCCTGTACTTTGATACAATGCTGTAAGTTTGAGCATATACTTCTTAGGGTTGCTAAATGCGGATGTGACGGGTGTAAAATGTAGTTAACTGGCGTTACTCTCTGCACAGTGCTAATGTTTAACAAAGAGGCAAGATAAATTTTGCAAGTAGGTTGTTGTTCTTTCCGTTCAAAGGGACTAACTCAATGACATTGCGTTGTTTTACGGGCGACTAAGGGAACTGTAAATATATGGAGTTAGACAATTTACTTTTCTAGTTTTCGTTGTGTTTCTTCCTCTTTTTAAATGTAGTTTTGATTCGGCTATTTTGTACTGATTTCACCTCACTATAATTTCTTGCTGTACATCAGTGAAACCTTATTCGGTGTTATGTAACGAAGCGAGGTTTCATAGAATGTGTCGCAATATCTAATAGAGGATTAGTCATCAGATAGAGGGATATTATAAGAGGATAAGAGATAAACTAGATTAGTTTTGGGGCCTTAATGTTGTAGTTCCTGTGGAAAGACAAACGAATATGTTTGTTGCAAACTTAGTCATCTACTGCTTTCAACTGCGTGTTTCTGTTAGCCTCCATAGTTGACGTTTAAACAACAGCTACATTTATATTGGGTTGGTTTCCATACTTCTGGTAAACTATAAGACTTATTTTTATATTCGTATTACGCCACGGATTAGTACTTCCTGTTTAATTACAGTTTATTGTCGTTAAACGCATCCCTTCCGAGTTTTAGTATCGTAGTTAAAGTATAACAGTTACCGATTCACTTAAGTCAACGATTGTTATGAAATCTAGAGTACTAACATTTCTTTGGTTCAGTGATTTAAGTATTCGGTTCCTAGACGCTACAAAATGTGTGTATCTCTAATCGTACAAACTAATCGTTTAACGAAGTACAAAATATCCTCTCCTAGTTATCATAATTTTCCTTCGTCCGCTGACATTTCTTGTTAATTTTGTCCTATTGTTTCACTCTTTATGTTACTGAAAACTGACAGCTTTTAGCAGTCACTTCCGTTCTTTCTGCATATATATATATATATATATATATATATATATATATATAAACTAGAAGGGGCAACTTTCTTACTACTGGTCGTTTTACTACCCTAAGACTATATCATTTTGAATACACACTAGTGTCCTGGACTCAGTTCTTGGATATGTTTATTCGCTCATCTGAAGCTTCACGAAGTGTATTCTAAGGCCTCAGTTTATGTAAGGAATACTTTTCTTGTTTCCCAATAATGCTATTCCATAGCACTTAGAGGTACCAAAGACTAGAAAGTCAATTTGTCTAATTCATATCATCCTGTTGTTTTAAAATATCACTTAGAAACAGTGGTTTCTTTGTTAATATCATACTCCGCTTACTGTAGGTAGGGCTACTGGGCAGTATAACTAATATCAACACACTGAGTGTTAGTGCTAATCTTGAACCTGAAAAAACGTGCGGGGTAAATGTTTCTTCATTATTATTAAGATTGATGAGGATCCAGTAATATTTCTCTGCTCATAGTAGTAGATGTTACCGTTTATTTCAGAGCTACACACTGTTGTCCTGTGTAATTTTAAAAGTGTTCTACTGAATCTAGTTCTTGCAGTTTTGATTAATAATTCAGTATTCTTGACTAACTAGGAAGTTTAGGAGTATTCTTACGTGCCAGTCAAAGGAATTCCTATCTTCGTGTTTTGAAACGTTTGTGAAAATCTTAACGTCTTTATTAGGAAACCTGACAAAGCACTAATCATATATACCCTGGTTTATATTGTCACGTTCTCGCGTAAAATCGGTTATTACTTGTTACAATGACTTGTCAAGTGGCACTGTTCATGTCTCTTATTATTTATTTAAATTATTCAAAGCAAATGTGGTATAGCATTTACACCAAGAGATGCGTCATACGACTAATCCAATAACAGCATAATTAAAAGATAAGTCTTTTTTGAGAGGAAGTTAGAACCAGTAATTTTACTCACCTTGTCCGTTCGTTACGCCGTATTACCTCCGGAAGTAGAAGAATAAGCGTGCACTGTTTTTGCCATAGATGTCGCTCCTGAGCCATATCTAATAAAATCCCAATCCACTGAGTCCTTCGATCACTAGGAATCCATCCAGGGAGTCACGATGCACCAAAAGATGCTAGCTCAATACACATTTCATCAATGGGAGACATGTCTGATTGGGAATAGTTTAAAAATTACTGCGATCAATATATTAACTCAATAAGCTTCTAATGTTTACAAATCAAATTTTATGTTCTACTAGTTGCGCTGTGATTCCGAAGAATACTACTTGAGTGACGGTAGAACACGGTAACATTTGGTAGTAGACTGTTTATCTGGTGGGATGCATAAACCTTACATTGAAGTTTCCATTTGCACATGTTCTCCTTTTGTGCTTCTTTTGTCTTCCTGTCATGCTTTCTTTATTGTTCCACAAGGACGTTTCATCTCTCTTCTTCGCAACTTAATCAAGTCGTCCCGCCATTAAATATTCTTGCAGGAAACATCACGCTATATACTACTCACAAAATCCTGTCAGTAGCACATGCCACACTTATACTTCAATGACTTTGGTATGTTACCTATTGGTGTAAAATTAGGCTCTCAACAATTGTGTCGTAGTTTCTCCTACTTTAGCCTGAAAGGCTAATCATCTTCATATTATTATTCCCTTAGGTTCCGAGTAGAACATAGGGCTTCAGCAGCACATCTCCACTTTGTCCTGTTCTCCGCAGTCCTCTTTAGCTGGCCTCACTGTTGCCCATAGGCTCCCACCTCCTCACACGGTCTGCCCCCTCAACTCGTCGTTCCCCATTCGGGTTCCACTCGAGCAGTGACCTGACGAGCGATGTCACCAAACGGTCTCCTCAGCGTGTGTCCGATCCATTTCCATTTTCTTCTGCATATTTGTTGTTTCTCGTTGCTCATTCTTTCGGGCCATTTGATCTACGCTATAACTCCCATGTAAATGAAAATAAATTTGCGATTCTGTTAAGGATATAAGATACCACATAATAAAAGCTTCACTTTTAAAACTTAAATTGTCGAAACCTTATGACAGTGTAACAACAAGCAGTTTTATTATGAAAAAATAAGACATTGAATAACTTTAAATGTTCCTAGGTTTATGAGTTTCGAATTTTCGCACTAGAATAAGTATTTTTTTAGCCTGATGACAAGCTGTTATATTTTTTTGGAATTGATTCTAATGAATGTTTTCCAAAGATGTTCTCTCCATTTTAACTTCTTGGTTTACATGTTATCCTAGTTTGGGTGATTACTACTGAGGTATTTTTCTTTGTCAACACAAGGTTAGCTGCTAGTCAAGTATCTGCACCAGTCAGTCGTTTTTTATTTGTGATCACAGTAATTCTACGAGACATTTGTGCACATCCTATAATAATGCATTATTTTTCTACATTTGATTAACATGTCTATTATTTCTGCAATTTTTGTTCTAATCACACATCTTTCTTAGTGTTATGGCTTCTATGATGAATGTATAAACAAATATGGCAATGCAAATCCATGGCATTATTGTTGTAAAGTATTTGATCTCCTCACCATAGCTGCGTTAGTTGAAGAAGAAGTTCTTTGTGTTCACGGAGGTCTTTCACCAGAAGTCAAAACACTAGATCAAATCCGGACAATTGACAGACATATGGAAATACCTCATAAAGGACCATTATGTGACATTTTATGGTCAGATCCTGATGATGTAGCTCAATGGACAGTTAGTCCTCGTGGTGCAGGATACTTATTTGGACCAAAGGTATGATTTAATCTAATTTATTCAAACAATTGGTGTTTGAATTTGAATACTACGTTATATTTCTGTTCTGTACCACCTTTAACACTTCCAAGACTATATGATAACATATTTACGTTCGTCGTATGAATATAAACAAAACTTCAGCTGCCTACTTAGCATTCCAATGAACATGTTTTCCCTCTATTAAATGTTCACTTAACGCCTTCGGCTTTACCGAATACATTGTAATACCTATTTTATAATTGTAATCTACAATGGCTGAATACCAATAAACTAGAGAAAAACATGAAGAGGACAGAAGTGGGCATTTATCAGAATTACTTATATTGTGTACATACAATAACTAGAAACAAATGGCATTGAACATAGAAACAATATGGTAATGGAAATAGTCAATCACTGCATACATGTTCTACAGTTGTTCGTTGCATTTAAAAAAGAGAACGTTCATGGAAATCTTAGCTCGTTGTCCGGTTTTATTACGTAACTAAATTATATAAACTGTAGCAGCTCTCAATTTATTTTTGACTGACTTAGCCACTGGAATTTCATTATATGAGATATATTCTTATAGAGTAAACGTTTTAGAACTGGAGATGAGTTAAATATGAACCGTGTAATGTAGCAGTCATAGTTCGATCGGTATGTCTGTCATTGTTGTAAAACTTGACTTCTGACTGAAGCTCATACATAATCTAGTATAACAAACCTTTACCAAGTATTTAAGTTATATTAGTCTGAATAATTTAGTTGGCCAAAACAGAATGGTAACTGGTTATCATGTTCATACGGTAGTTATGCTTTATTTGTTTAAAATAAACATCCTAAAACCAATGTTACATATTCTGTTATATATATTTTTTTCTTTAATTGTCGATACACTTTTAGGTTACTCAAAAATTTGTTGAACTGAATGGTCTAGAAGTTATTTGTAGAGCTCATCAACTGGTGCATGAAGGTTATAAATCTATGTTTGACGGACGTCTTATCACTGTTTGGTCAGCGCCAAATTATTGTTATCGTTGTGGAAATATTGCTGCAATCTTGGCGTTTAATAGTCCAACACAATTTGAAGCTAAGCTTTTTAATGCTGTACCAGATGAAGAACGAGTTAAACCTCCTCTTAGAATTACACCTTACTTTTTGTAATGTAGTTTTATGAAGAATATGTATCATTCATATCCCTAATATCATATTTCACTACTTTTTAGTCTTTTATGTACCCAATGTTCAGATATGAAGAAAAAAATCAAAGCATACACTTTTAAGTGGAGGTGAACGATTGAATACAGGTTGTTATAAATATCTGGGTTCATTTGTTTGTTTTTATCCGAACTTTTCACTTTGTCTCTATTAAAAAATTTTTTATTGAATAACATGGTATGATTGTATAAGTAAACAGAATCCGTGTATTTGTTTTTTTGTACTTAACTTACCTGATTGAACCCTTTGACTATCCTAGACTGTCCTTCCTTTCACCTTTTAACATTTTGATTGTTTTGTATATAATTTCAAAGGTTATATATGGATTCATAACTACCTATATGAAGTTATTCAAGCGAATTCCTTGCGTCGTATTTGATAAGTGGTCATTTCTGACTTATTTCTACTAACCTAATATTTGTGATAAGGTGCTTGAAAAGGGCAACCTAGGGCACTGAGTGCACGAAAGTATGAGGTTTGATCAATGTAACTGTGAGTTAGGGGAAGAGAACTGAGAGAATAGACAATCAGGAAGACAGAAAATATGCTTAAGAAGGGAACTTGTTACTGCGATAACTTTTTTCATATCCTTACTATGAAGTCAATATTTATTTGGACTACGCAATTCCAGTGGTTGTGCATAGAACAGAATACTTCTATGGAAAATCCACAACAGATAGTTATTAGTGTCATGAGCCATCTGTATGGCGAATAAAAAGTCGCTAGACGTTTGCTACTACTTGTTCCGTGAATAGATTAGAAGGGCAATCCTATTCAAACATGAATTATTTCCTTCAATATTTTCAGAAATAGTAATGGAAAAAATTGTTTTTGATAGTTAACTTGAAAAGCTCACGTGTATAATGTAGCGGGTGTTGCTACCTCATTAACCTTTACTAGATGAATTAGTAAGATGAACTGCAGTGATGACATAATTCGTAAAAAATAACTTATCTGTCGAAGTTGACATTCTTCACATCAGTACACCTAGTATAAAGTCAACATGAAAAAAAAAACAGTAATCTATCTGAAAACAAAATAAAGACAACAGGACATAAATGAAGATATGTCACAACAGAAATTTCAAAACTTAGAAGAGAACGTCAAGTGTAGATGTCTAAGGAATCCGTCGGAGTATACTTTTGAAGCACAACAGTGACTGGAGGACTCGTATTATATGGATGCAGTTTTCACCATGACAATTTTACTACTGAAGTGCATACACTTGCCAAATTAGATTAGGTGGTCAGCGTTATGGAATTGTAATCTGTTTTTGGAGATAGGACATTAAAATCTCTTTCAGAACAGTTAAGGACATGAAATTCAAGTTGTCTCAATTAAAAGACCGAATTTCCAACCATTGAATTTAAACATCATCTACTAGGTAACCTCCATCTATCTTGTAAATGGGAGTTACAATTACCACCCACTCCACCCTCTTTTTTAATATACTTCAACTGTACTCATGACAATTGCATCCTTTTTGATTATCTCATTCCACTACTTATAGTTACTTAATTTTTTTACATATCTGGTTAACACTTTCATAATAAGAACACCTTTTGATCACGTTTTACTTTGATTTCTTTTGTTTCAAACTCATATGTCTTCCTGTTATCTAAGTCCTTGTGGGTTTGCTCCCTTGTAAAGTATGTTGTTTTTATTTCTGATAATTACTTCTAATTGGTTTGTGTACAATTGAGATGATAATAATAATGTAAGTATATCACTGTTAATCACAAATTTATTTGTTCAATAATATATTGTGTTTAGTTTTTGAGGTGTGGTTTATTTATGTCACTGTTGAATGTTCAATCGATGATAGAGTTATACTGCACCCCAGTGCCCAAATTTTATACTTATATCAAGAAATAATGTTGCTGGTTAAGTTAATAAGTGTTGATTCGTTTCCTTGTCATATACTTTTGGTCCTGTGCTCTAACATTTTGAAAATACTGTCTAGGAAATAAAGGCGAATAAAGGGATTTTATAGACTACTCCCAGTTTATTCAGACTTATTAATAAAAAAATCAATCCAAACGGCTTGACAGTATCCCAGTCCCTCTATATGGCAACTTAAATGAACGTTCTTTCAATGCCGAAGGAAGCAAACTCTAGGTCATCCCGAGACCATATTCCACCAATGTATTTTATTTATCGTGTAGCAAGGACTTGAAATTAGGGTTGAAGGCATTTAGTTAATTGTGATTACTCAGTTAATCTTCATATCAATTTTGAGGTATCTCACAGAATTTTTATGTATGCCTCACTGCACTTTCATCTTCAATACTTAATATCTGAAGAAGCCTTGGTTATGCGTAAAATGCTTATATGCACTAAAACCTTTTCTTTCTTTCTCGGTTGTAGCTTCAGTTATATTCATTTTCTCTTCCTCCAAATGCATTTATTTATGTTATTATTGTTTCCTTGGGTTCCGAATGGAAAATAAGGCTTCAACAACACGTCTCTACTTTGTTCTACTTTCTGCTGTCCTCTTTAGCTGGGCCCACGATTGACCATAATCTCTCATCTCCTCCTCGCCACACGATCTCCATTTCACCTTAGGACGACCCACTCTTCACTTCCCATTGGGATTCCACTTGAGGGCCTGTCGCGCGAAGTCGACCAACGGTCTCCTTAGCATATGCCCTATCCATCACCATTTTCTCCTACATATTTGTTGACCGATAGGTTCTTGGTTATTGCGTTCTCATGGTTTCCTGTTGCTAATTCTTTCTGGCCTACCATTTGGTCTTCAATATAAAGCTAGCGAAAGCAGCTGTTGGTAAAAGTTTGTAACGCGTTGGAAATGGGTTCCGTGATGCGCCAAGTTTCGGACACGTATTTATATTATATATGTCCAAACCAAGTTCATATGTAGTAGTTTGACAAAATTTGCTCATTAGGTATATGATATTCATTATTATTAAAGTTTCTTGGTTTCTCAACAATGTCGTTTTCATTTTCATCTTCACTGGGAAATGCAAAGCTTTTTATAATAATACATTTCTTTATTGCACTGTGTATAACTTCTGATATTATTTAAATTAGTTCTTCTATATCTGTTGACTTTTAAAATTAATCATTTTTTAGGGTACAGTTTAGTTTGTGCGCCGGTGGCACAGCGGTAAAATGGTCGCCGACCACGCTTGTGGTCCGGGGTTCGATTCCCGACCGACGCACCCCTTTACCTTGCTAAGCCAGTAATAAGACTGGTAAAGAGGAAAGGTTGGGCATGAGGCTAGCAACCCCATCTCGTAAAAGTCAACACCACTGCTACAGAAACTTCAAGCCCCTAGCTTGAAGCCCTATGTTCCACTGGGAACGTAAAGGAATAAAAAAAACAGTTTAGTTTGTATTGTATTAATTCTGAATGCATCATTACCCCCATTACATCATAGTTAATTTGTTGAACCAAAGCTACTGTAGATAGTTTCACCAATTGTGAATTGCTTCTGTGTAATTCAATACGACTAGAATTAAGGCCAAAAGACTTAGTTTTTGGAAACTAAAGTGATAATATTGCATGGAGAGTTAATCATTTTTCATTCATATGGTAACTGGGTTAAAAAAATTGTATGTAAAAATATGAATACTTTGATGATTGAGTTTTACTCAGGATACACATAGGAACATAGTAGAGAATGCGAAATTACGTAAGAGTTCTAAATGAATAAAAGAATTATAAGCAATTAAAGAAACAGGCAAACAAACAAAAATTAAGTCATCAAAAATCAACTAAGTTTATAGGTTTCCAGGCCGTAGGTGTTACGAACTTCCTGGAATAATTTGAGCACCGAATCAGATTGATTCATTATAAATTATTTAAATTAATCCCAGCATGTTAAGAAAATCAACTAAGTTGTTACCATGACAGGAGCAGTGGTTAAGTAATTCTCTTTTGTATGCACAGCTCCGGTTTTTCTGTGTGAATGGCCAGAGCTTCAGCGATACAAAGAAGACGAAACCGTATTGCCTTTGGTAGGTTATTCTTGACTCTGCAGATTACTTTGAAGGAGGCCTTTGTTGGGATGGAATGATCAGTGTTAACCAGATATTCAATTATCGCACTCCTTATTGCACCACTATTGCCTTTTCGCAACCATGCTGGATAGTGTTCTTGAATTCTCTTGGACAGGGTGCGTGTCGAACGACCGATGTACCTGGCTACACAGCAGCAGGTGAACTGATATATACACATTGAAGTCGTCAGATGCAGGACCCTGTCCTTGAGGCTTCTGCAGATCAGTGGGCGACTGGAGAACACTATTCTTAGCGTTGCTGCAAAAAATGTTCTTCTCAGAGATGATGTGGTCCTTCTCTTGAAAATATCGCTTGCTGATTCTCCCTTGAAGTCCAAGTCCATGTAGAGTTTCTTTTTTATGACGCAAGTGAAGTTTCATTTCTCCGAATTCTTGGTTTGATATTTTTGTCGATGAATCTCATTGGGTATCCATTTTGGATGAAAATTTCTCTTAGAATATCTAATTCTGTTTCCAGAGCGTTGGGACTGCAGATGCGTCGGATGCGGGTGCCAAGTGATTTAATTAAATTTCGCTTTTGTTGAATGGGTACCCAGCTATAAAAGCTTGTTAGTTGACCATTCCAAGTAGGTTTTCTATGGATCGATCTTCTTAGGCTCCCATCAGTTCTTCTTGTTAGTTCCACATCAAGAAACGGAATTTTTGGCTCGTTTTCCATTTCAATAGTGAACTTTATTGCTGGATGGCAACAGTTAAATGTCTTCAGCAGTAGATTGGGGTCATTGTTGTTGTCACAAATAATGAATATGTCGTTTACGTATCTTTTATACAGTTGTAAATTGTAAATGCTTGGCTTTAGTGGACCTTTCTCGAGGCTTGCCACGAAGCAATCTAATAGTAGTGGACCTAACGGAGATCCCATTGCAATACCATCTTTTCGTCTATAGATGGTGTCGTTGAAAGTGAACTGGATGTTCAGAATGCATCTCAGTTGTAATTCCTTCAAATATGTTGTTGGTATTGCAATATTGAGATGGTTCTCATCTGTATATTTGCATTTGAAGCATTTCTTTTAGATCAATGAAGAGAGATATGTAGCAAAGTAGGCTTTCAATTTAATTTCAGTCATAACTTTCTTGAATCAGATCAAATTAACTCAACGATATAACTATTTGAATTAGTCCTATATTGCTGTGATGGGTACTAATTGAAGGTGAAGTGAAAAATTAGTCTGTTGTAGGCATTCAGCTAGCCATATCTGGATTGCTTACGAAACGTCTTCTCTGATGATTCACAAGACACAGATGCAAATGTG